CACACACACACACACACTTTTATTTCCAGTATGACATAGTATTTTTAAAGCATCTAGTATAAAACAAATTTGCTCAACATTTAGATGTACACTAGCAAGTAGATGCCCTAAAAGCTAAATTACAAGCAACAAAACAGTCTGTGTGATTCAGTTGTTTCTCACAGCAGGTTGTGTAATCTGACACAGAGACAGTTCAGACTCAAACACTCCAAACCAAGCATAGAGGGGTTCAGTGAATGTGGTGTTGAATGTGTGTAAGTGTGTGTGTGTCAGAGATACTTTAGAAGGACAGAGTGCCGGCCAACATGTACACTCCTACTCTTGTAGAATAGGGTGATGGGACAGGTACGTTAGTGTTCACATTATTGTGCCAGGAAGTGAATCCATCAGAAGAGCAGTACAGACTCCAGGATTTGTTACTGCATCCAAACCAACAAGTCATTCCCTCCTTTCCTGCTGATTCCTTTGTATGTCACTGCCAGTCCATTCAGCCTCCCAGTAACAGCGTCCAGTCAGACTCTCTCCACAGAGAACCTGGTCAGAGCTCTCAAATCTGTCTGCATGAACAGGATATGGCTACTTTTCCTCAACATGTGTTGCCTTTCTATTGTCCTCAGAGAGAGTTTAACATGTGGTATGTTTGGATCCAGTGTGAGATCACAGGCATCTGAAAACAAGAAGAGAGATGAAAAGTACATGAAGGACAGTTTTTACACATGTGTGTTGGTAAACTGAGTAAACCCTACATTACATGTAAGGGTGGAATTAAGGGCCAGAATGTAAAGCTCTTACAATATAAAAATAGTTATGTCTATAAAAAAAAATTCTGATAAAAAACTCAACATGGGTCTGTGTGTGTGAGAGAGAGAGAGAGAGAGAGAGAGAGAGAGAGAGAGAGAGAGAGAGAGTGAGAGAGAGTATAAGAAAGAAAGAAAGAAAGAAAGAGGAAAACTTTCATTTCATTCTTGGACAATGAAATTCATGAGAAAGAGATACAAATTGTGACTGCTTGAAAAAGACAGTTTGTCAGAGATGGCCAGTTATTGCATTATGTATATTTAAAACATGCATTTAATTACTTTTGAGTATTTGGCAACTTGTATTTTGCTGGCAAATAATAAGATGTAATCTATAACAAAATATTTTGAGAGATTGACAATGTATTTAAAAAAAATAATATAAATAAGAAAAAAATATAAAAAACATTAAATAAATAAATACTTAATAAATAATTTTAGTGATATATAATTTTTTTTTTTTTTAGGCTAGATTCAAGTAAATCATGACTTTTTG